TGTGAGAGGCCTGCACTGTCTTTGCCTTCTGCCTAGGTTTTGTAAGCTTCCTGAGGCCTCAACAGAAGCAGATAGCCAGCACTATGCTTCCTGCACAGCCTGCAGAACTGTGAGCCAGTTAAACTTTTGTTTCTGATAAATTAACCACCCACAGGTATTTCTTTGTTTCCGATAAATTAACCACCCACAGGTATTTCTTTATAGCAACCCAAGAAAGGCCTAACGCAGCATATGATGTGGAAAATGTACACAGCATATTAAGCGGAAAAAAAGCCGATTGCAAAATAGATTCTTTCTCCATTTCCTTTTGGTTTATCTGTATGTTCAAATGTTAACAAAAGTTATCTCAGCATACTTTTTATCAAGTTAAACAAAAATAAAAATGTAAACCCTATGAGCTTTCCCTCTCCTTCTCTCCCTTCGCTTTCTTATTAGCTTACTTATTATACAGATCACACACACACCAAAAAAAAAAAAAAAAAAAAAAAATCACACTAACCAATTTAAAGTTTGGATTAAACATTTATGCATGGCTTGACAAACTCTACACAATTCCTGCTACTTAACACTATTTCCATCTTATTTATTTTAAAAGCTGAATAATATAGAATTAATTATTATAAAATATTTCAGAGATTAAAAGGCTATAAATAATTGGAAAAAAGAGAACAGTTTTACTCTAGAGAAGAATTATTGGTTCTTTCTAATCAAGGACAATCTGTTAGCAATAAGAAAGGGAAGGAGGGAAAAAGACAATGCTGGTTTTTAAAATATAAAACAGTATCCAAATTCATGGAATATTATATCTCTACAAGGTGTTAAGAACTATCTTCAATCACTTTTCATAAGGTTCTTGGGATAGGGTCCCAGTCTTACTTATCTAGAACTAAGTAAATAAGTGCCTGCCTGCCAGGTAGTATGTACTCAATCATTATTTGTTCAAATATGATCTAATTACTTAATGCTTATAATCATCTATATTTAAATTTTTTAAAATATCTTAACCCATTTCCCATTTAGGAAAAAAAAAAAAAAAAGTACAGCTTGCTGCCAGCACAGTATTCTTGGTGCAAACGTTAAATGGGTTAATACAGTCTAAATCAGTGTGTCTGGTTCATTTCAGCTCCTTCACTGCCAAACCAGGGGTCAAGGACTGTTTTAGTTTTTCTGCCTTCTCCTTGTCTGTGATGATGAATGTGTAAGGTATCTATCTTCTGCATCGAACTTTAAACTTCACATTGTCCTTATTGATCTATTTTTTAAATTAAGAAGTTATGGTACAAGGGGATAAAGTATCTCATTCAAGGGCTCCCACTTCTGGAGATTCCCATTCACGTCTGCCTGGTTCTGAGGATCATTATTTCAGCCCAAGACTCTACACCTCTTCTAGGGGAGAGGACAGGAGTCAAATCTTTACATTATTGAGCTATTGTGGCTTACAACCCCACTTTCAGAATGGTACACAGGCCTGGGTCTAGTACTTGACCAGTGGTTCTCAATGTGAAGTGATTTTGTCCTCCAGGGGACATTTTAGCAACCTCTGGAGGTACTTTTGTTTACCACAACTGGGGAGATGCTATTAGCAGATAGTGGGGAGAGGCCATGGAGGTTGCTAAACATACAATTCACCCCCACCCTCACCCAACAACAAACTAGTAGTCCAAAACATCAATAGTGTTAAGGTTGAGAAATTTTGTACTAGATGATTAAAATACGGTGGAACATTGTCCTTATGTTTAAACTAGCACCAAGCGTGAAAGCAGCAGCCAGCATCTGCCAGGTTTATAAGTAGAGTTGTGGAAACTGTAAATCTCCCCAGCACATCACTATTATCTTCAGCTGTCTCAAGAGAAGCACCTGATTTTGCAAGCTGCAATGGAGACAGGGAGGACAGAAGGTTAACAAGTATTTAATTCTCAGTGAACCTGAGTATGTTTCAAGTCGTAGTGTCCAGGTGTGCAAGAAGAAACTGCTGGTTTTCCTGGATTCATGGAGGTCTTAGATCTTCTGATAACTTCTACCAAGGTAAATAAGACTATTACGTATTTAGGCAGTTTTTAACTACTTCACATCTCTAATTTCTAGTATCTAAAATTTAGTAAGAATTGCTACAGAGAAAAAGACTCACCCAAAACAGAGGAGATTAACGGAGACTATGCAAGGCTTCCATTGTTGCTCTCCTTACCACCCTCTGGCCCCCCAGCCCTGCCCTCTCTATGGTCTGACTTGGTAGATTATTCATACATTGATGGAGTTGGGAAACCCACAGGGTACGTTGTAAATAAAGGAGGAGCAATTTCGTAGAGTTAACTTTTTAGTAGTAATAACAATAAAGGAAAAGGTAAACATTTTAAAAAAGTATTAGGAACAATAGAGAGAAACAGTGAGACGTACATTTGTGAAGTGACACCATCAAAATTTAATTATCCTGTGACAAGGAGCTTCAATATAGTGGATAAGTCAAAGAGACCTGCCTAAACAGAACAAGTCGTCATATCTATAAAGTCTATGAAAAGGACACTGTAATCCACGAAGGGGAAGGGAGCCACTCCTAGGGTGGCTTCACTCTGCCAACTGAAACTCCTATGAATGCATGGATCCATTAAACAGAAAGGCAAGTAGAAACATTCAGTTTGCTGCAGCGAGGGAATCCAGAAATTATAACTGAAGTGAGAAAAGCTGTACATGCCACTTCTTAGCTCCCCCTTAAGGATTTCTGTTGAGCCTTAAGTCCTGAAGAATTTCATGAAGTAGAAACAAGAATAAATATTTCTTACTGTGGAGGTCTGGATGAGAATTAACCATGGGACTGCTTTATCTTCCCCCTACTTAAACTAAAACGTGGGTCTCTTCAGGGGAGGTAGACATGGAAATACATGAAGCAATGGTTACCACAAAAAAATTCCTAACATCTACACAAAAAAACTATTGTCATTAACACAGTGTAACATAACACTTCCAAGAAAATATTTGGTTGATTCATAATTAGTTCAAGAAAGAAAACTAAGTATTTAATTGCTACCCAAAGGTATTTGCTACCAGGTTATTTGCTACCCGAAGGTAAACAAGTAATGGACACTATAAAATACAATAGAATAGAATCCCACCAGTGACCTGCTTTCTTTTTGTTTGTTTGGTTTTTGAGACAAAGTCTCACTCTGTTGCCCAGGCTGGAGTGCAGTGGTGTGATCTCAGCTCACTGCAATCTCTGCCTCCTGGGTTCAAGTGATTCTAATGTCTCAGCCTCCTGAGTAGCTAGGATTACAGGCACCTGCCACCACACCAGGCTAATTATTTTTGTATTTTTAGTAGAGATGGGGTTTCACCATATTGGCCAGGCTGGTCTCAAACTCCTGACCTCAGGTGAACCACCCACCTCAGCCTCGCAAAGTTGACCTGCTTTTAAAAGTTTACAAAAACCACTTGAAGTGGTATAAGAAGTCAAAGAGAAGTACTCTTTTAGCTTTAAGATTTCTTCTGGGTTAAAAATGACAGTAAAATAATTACATGTGTGGGATTGCTTCAGTTATTCTACAAGAGACCTTGGTGCAGACAGTCCTAGCAAAGATAACACAACCGAAAAAAACACAATTGTCTTATATTATAAATAATACATTTTTCCAGAGAAAAAGTGATATATATGATAGGTAGTTTTTCTGACAGATGATCAAGTTTACACAACCCACAATGTAACTGAAAGTTTCAGCGCTTTGTTTTCCTCACCTAGAAAATCAAGAATGGGCCTAAATCTCTTAGGTATTATTTAGCTGTAAAATTCTGATTCTAGGACTCCAATTTTAACAGAGCTTCAGAAATCTGCACTGCTTCTTTGAAACACTTTAAAATAATAACCAAAAAAGATACATTTTCTCCTCGTTCTCCTCAATATCCCTAAATTTCCAGGAGATACTGTGGGGGCTGCAGGCACAGGTGAAGGAGTATATTACATAAATGCAAAACAAGTTATGTTTAATGCCTGCGTTAATGTGGGTTTGTGTCTAAGACAGGTAAAAGCTGTTAGCAAATTCATTAATAAAAAGCCTATTGTTTTTCACATCAAACTATAATTTATTAACATGAGACAACTCTCCCGATGAGAATGATCATTCTAGGTAATAATCAGCCAGAAGGTGCACCCTTGCTTAGAATTTAATTTTGTTTACTGAGAAATCATGTTATGGAAGCTTGCCGAGTGTGTTTGCTCTTGGCAGGTGTGTTAGCCAGAAGATCTGGCTAGATGATGATGTTTTTAAGAGGCAAGATGCATGGTTTTAACTGTGTTGAAAACTAATTGCAGGGACTCTATAAGACATTTTTATTCTACCACATATATGAAATAAAAGCATTTGTTTCTAAAAAGAATATTCCCTAATTATTTTTATTATAAAGACATCCTCAATGATATACTGTTGAAGAATTTCTATGCCACTATCCCTCCTATTCTAGACTGCCACATAACCAAGAAGGTATCTTCTTTGGTGATTTAAAAATACAATCTTTTCTAGGAGTATACAGCTCCTTGAACCTATCCAGGGCATCACATTTCTCATGCTGCTGAGCTATAGACACTCCCTCCATAAAGCCAACAAATATTTCATTCCCTAGAATTGTAAGCACTTTAAATATTATAATCCTGCCTCTTTCTCGCATTTAAGAGGCATTTGGATCTGCTCCATAGTATTCCTTCATCCTCAATGAAAGATCACTTCTAATTACTGGTACTTGAGAACATCAAATTCTTCTTTCACTTAAAAATCAACTTGGTAGAAAGTTATGAAAGTGGTTCAGAACATAGTACCTATGACGGCTCCATATTTGTTATATTAAAATCACCATTTAGCAGAAAGCCACTTTAAATAATATCCTTCTAGAATTCTAAAATCTCCAATTCAGATAATGCTCTTAATCAATAATAAAATGAAGTATTTTAAGATAAGGAATATCAAAATGCAATCCAAACCTAACAGACCCACAGACTTTCCATTGTAGCCCACACTCACCTCTCCCGAGGAACAGCAAACCAGTACTCTGGCTGCTTTCTCCGTTTGCCGTACTGCTGGACCATGGCTGCAGTGTGAGTGGCAAAAGATTTTCTCATTGGTTTTCCCACTTTGATGCACAGGAACATGGGTGGGGTCTTGCTTTTTTCTGCTTTTGAAGGAAGTATATCTGAATCACACATGAAAAAACTCTTCCTCAATATTGACAAATTGATCATAGAAGAACTTTTCAACTTAAAAAGGATAGTGCACAATCCTCTCTTAGTCAAAACTTTGCAGAAACATCCTACAACATCATATCAGGACTAATAAAATTTTCAAGCCTTTTTTAGTACACAAGGAAAAAGCTTTGGTTGTTTCAGGTTGAAGTACATCCCATGAGTTGCTACATACTGAAAATAAGTATAAAAACCAACAGAATAGCAAATAATGGAGAATTGGGACAATTCATATTAATGAATGCTACTGATAATCCAATTATAACAATGCAATTCAGTTTAGAATTGAGATCTCTTCAAAAACAGTTTAAACTCCTCTAGATTTAGAAAACAAAGGTTAAAAAAAGGAAGTAGCTTGAAAGATTAAAAGTAAACTACTTTTGAAGTAGGTATCTAGAGATCTATGTCATAGCTCAAGTTCCAAAATAGATACCATATCTTGTAAATTTTCTCTCCAATTGTTAATGCTATCAGCAAAGATATACTCTATTGAGAAAACATTGTTTTCAAATAATTGTACTAATTTGGGTATTACATGTGCAAATTGTAGAAAGGCAATTATACAACAGAATATAAAGGCATTAAAGAAAAACAGCTTACCTTCAATGGGTACCTGAATTCTCTTTAACAGCCACAACTGAACTTCAGATTTATTATCCATTTGTGCACCTTGACAGCTGTTGTCCAGAGTAGATTCCAAAGAGGAGTCTAGAGCCTCTTTAATCACATTTTCTTCTGTAGAAGAGTTCAGTTTTACTGGGAGGGGCTCTCTCTCTTTCACACAGGTCTTATCTGGCTCTTTATTGCCCTCAGTTAGGGGATTGCCTGCCTGGGAAAGAGAACTACTAAGGGTAATGTCTATTCCCCCTGGTTCAATACTTTTTCCATCACTTAATTCTGTTTTCTGCAAATTTTCAGATACCTGTGACCCTTCTTTGTTCTTATTTAGGTAATATTCAATGAGTTTAACTTTATCTAGATCTTCATGTATGTTCAGTGTGTTTTCTACCCGGCTTTCTGGTGAACCAGACTGCTTGTCCACTTCTGGCATTATATCCTGCTTCTCACAGGTTTCTAAATCTAGCGCCCCCTTCAGTTCAACATCATTTTCTGTTCCCAAAAAGGCTAGAGCAGACTGCACCTGCATTTCCACGGCTGAATTGTTTATTTGTGACTCAACCTTCTTTCGTTCCTCTGGGTCAAGAGAAAGGCACTCCTTTGAGGTGTCTTTTTTGTCCATTCCACCATCAGTTTGAGAAGAAAGTTCTTCCAAGTCAACAAAATCATCATCTTCCCCTAGAAAGTTTTCTTTGGCTGTAGATTCAAATGCAGCAGAAGTGTTGGAAGGTTCCTTGCTAAGCTTAGTCACTGTGGGAGAGCCATGGGATGTCTCCCTAGAAGATTCCAGTTTCTTTAATTTCTCTGACACAGAGCTGCCTGAGGGCTTTGTAGGTGTGTGTTCTGTGGACTTCTCCAAAGGTACTGTTGGTCTGGAATCCCAAGTCATGATTTTCTCTCCATTCTGCTGTCGTTTTTCCTTGTTGATAGATTTGAACTTACTGAATGGGTTGATATCCTTTTCTGAAGCAAGGTCTTCCCATTCTCCAGGCCTGTACAGAGGACAAAGATCCTGAGGTAGGTCACTGTTGGGGGAGAAATGGTGGGTGCACATGGAATGTTAAAAATAAAACCAAAAACAAAATGGAGGAAAGGCAAAAAACAAAACAGAAACGCAACGAAAAACTAATACATAAATATACCACAACTTAAATTTATGTTCAAATGATTTCAGAATAAAAAAATAAAATCAAGAAATTGATTTCAAAATGAAACATAAGTCAACTAAAGGAAATGGTGAAAGAATGAACCATGAGAGTTGCATATCCTACTGGAAGCACATGATGAATTTGGAAGTTATACATGAACATGGAGATGTTACCCATAAGATTTCTAAATATGAAATAATAATGTATCTGACTTTCACGAAGGAAAGGATAAAGAAGAGGAAATATTTTAGTATCAATGTCTAAAATTCCTTAAATGTGCAAACCTTTTCCTTTTCATCAAATAGTATAGAAAACAATTACACTAATTTTGAAATGCTCATTGACTTAGTAGCTACTCACTTAACTGCTCCATATAAAATCACTGACCTTGAACCCTGATTCTGGGTTTCATGGCTTAGGATCTGATGCTTCTAATCATAGACAGCCCTCTACTCCCAAAGGAGATGCAAGAGGAAGCTTCCACTATTATTGTTGGTATATGGCAATTGCTCCATCTTATAATTTAAAAATGTATAGAAAAGTGAATCTTATTAAAAAGCTCTTATGTATAAGCTGGGCGCGGTGGCTCACGCCTGTAATCCCAGCACTTTGGGAGGCCGAGGCGGGCGGATCACAAGGTCAGGAGATCGAGACCACGGTGAAACCCCGTTTCTACTAAAAATACAAAAAATTAGCCGGGCGCGGTGGCGGGCGCCTGTAGTCCCAGCTACTCAGGAGGCTGAGGCAGGAGAATGGCGTGAACCTGGGAGGCGGAGCTTGCAGTGAGCCGAGATTGCGCCACTGCACTCCAGCCTGGGCGACAGAGCGAGACTCTGTCTCAAAAATGTATAATACTTACATTTCTTAAGTAAATATTTCATTTTATAACAATATCGCTTTACTTTACAGCAATGGTGCAGCTCGTTTATCAGCTGAAACACATTGTACTGGGATGCAGTCAATTATCTTTCCCTAATAACAGATGCTCTATTTCCCAGATTGGAATTACATAAAAATATTGATTAAACATGTTCTCCCAAGTGTAAAATAAATGATCAAGAAATATACTTTAAAAAGAGCAGCAAACCACCATGGCACGCACCTATGTAACAAAGCTGCACATCTTGCACATGTACCCTTGAACTTAAAATAAAAGTTGAAAATAAAAATAGTAATAATTTCAAATATGTGTAAAAAATATGATTGGAAATATCTTGAGTAAACCCATCCACTTACCACTGCTACTAGTAGTGTCATTACTGGGTTGAAATGCAGAGATATAAAAACCCTTTTAAAGAATAACATTTCAATTTTCAGAAATAATTATATTTTCTAAAAAGGTCAGATCATCTTCAGATAAAACTTTATCTGCTATTTTGGCTTTGAAATAAATGGTTATGACAATAAAGCAACAAAGTACCAGGAAGTTCTGAAGTTCCAAAAGACTGTCTTCCCAAAGTGACTTTATAAACCATCTGCAAGAAAGGTTCATGCTTTTTCCAATAGAAAATAAAAGCCTACGTAATTGGTTGGCTCCAACAAATGCTTTAAAAAGCCTTCGTAATTTATAATTCATTTCAATTTAATAAGCATTCATTGAGCCCCTAAGTGCTGTATTCTGAAATACAATTGTGACAGAATCTCTGTTCTGCAGGAACTTGCAAACACAAAATGTTTTGCCCAACACCAGCATCCCAGGAGATGTTAAAAATGTTTCCATCCTAGATTCAAATAAGTTAGTGAAATGTAGCATAATCTCCCTATTGGAACTCAGAACTTAATTAGGCATATTAAAGGCTGTCAGAAGTCCTGCAACAAAGAAACCCAAGTTTCCACATACTTGATTAATAAGCAAAACTTTCTTCCCCTTCTCTACCTAGCTTGACCCCTACAAAAATACCTTCAACTGCATTCTAATTAGCTTTCTAGATTACCTTGTCTACCCCTTTCTTCTTTTACCTAATCCAAACTGCCCATTCCGTACTTGAGATTAATTTCACTATCTGCTTTTTCTGCAGTGCAGTTGCCAAGTGTACATAATGGTGTCAACTGGCTAGTTTGTTAATTAATGTTTTCTAGACTTAGCCGGGCACCTAATGATGATCAATAATCCTTTCAGTTGTTCCCTTCTTACTCACTGTGGCAGCTGGAGCCACAAAACGTCCTGCACGTGTGTGCATGCACGCGCGTGCGGGCACACACACACACACTCTCACACAAGTACCAAAGTTGAAGGTGAGGATGGAGGAGTTTTACACACATCCACTTTTAAAAACTATTGCACGTTGCCATGGGGTAATTTGTACTTAGTGTTATTAAACTGTCGGTAATAATGATGTTTTAAGTAATTTTTAACTTTTAAACAATTTATGAAATTCTGAAGACAATACAAAGTTTATTTCACACTGATTCTCACACATTCTTGTTTATTAGACTAAAAATCCTTTATATACCTGCATCCAAGGCAGGAATCAATGCGCAACCCTGAAATAATTTCAACAAATTGGAAGCTGATTCTTAACTCTGCTCTTTTCCTGTAATCATGGCATTATCCCTTATAATCGAGATCATTAAACATAATCTCACAATGAGATAAGTTTTTATATAAAGAGGTACTGTCGCCGGGCGCGGTGGCTCAAGCCTGTAATCCCAGCACTTTGGGAGGCCGAGACGAGCGGATCACGAGGTCAGGAGATCGAGATCATCCTGGCTAACACGGTGAAACCCCGTTTCTACGAAAAAAATACAAAAAACTAGCAGGGCGAGGTGGCGGGCGCCTGTAGTCCCAGCTACTCGGGAGGCTGAGGCAGGAGAATGGCGTAAACCCGGGAGGCGGAGCTTGCAGTGAGCTGAGATCTGGCCACTGCACTCCAACCTGGGCGACAGAGCGAGACTCCGTCTCAAAAAAAAAAAAAAAAAAAAATTAAAGAGGTACTGTCTATTATTAAATAGAATAATTAAGATCCTAGGCTGAAGATGTGCAACGGTACTACTCCCTTAGGAGCCATATTTCAGTAGGGAATGCCCCTATTTGTTTGGCCACCCATTTAGACACTTCTGGCAGCAAAATTTGGAAACTACTTCAGGGCCCATGCTCTGGTGCTATCTTCAGTGGCTTGAGGTTGGGGAAGGGCTGCCTGGACCAGATTCTAACGGCTGTAGGAGTCCAGGGGAATCTACTTGCATAAACCCCCAGGGATTTTGTGTCTGGTTTAGCTCCCTAGTAATTTCCTTTTTTTTTTTTTTTTTTCATATGAGCCCCAAGGGCTAGTTTCCCTCTGTACTGTTAGGACCTACTGCTCCGCCTCTTCCCATCACAGAAGGTTCTTAAAATTTTTTACTGCTGGTTTTTATAGAGAAACAGACACAGTAGAGCAAAAGGACAGTAAAAATCAGATCATCTGTATAAGTTAATCAATTCCCCGAGCTTTCTTAACTCTTTTTTTTTTTTTCCTGCGGAGCTTCCCTCTCTTTTTTAACAATAAATCCTGCATTCTAAGGCAAAAGTAATCAGGACTGAAGTTAATCTACATTTCAGGGAAAAAGCAAATTGGTATTACTCCCTTTTCACAGCATGCGAAGGTGGTTACTACTCTACTTGACCCAAACCTCTCACTGTGCAGGACTGAGGGAGGAAATGAGTCAGGGAGACTGCCTTTCCTAGAAGTTAAATGAAGACAAACATAACTCTCCTTAGTTACACCCAGAAGAAAACATTATTCTCTTACTGATAGTTGGATACACTTCTTTCAGAAAAATGCCTTTCTTCTTCCATAATTTCATTAAGAACATGCACTGCTTTTTAGAAAAATAAGCCAAACAAATACTATTTTAACATGATGGCTTCTTTTTCTCCTTTAATCTTTATATGTTCAACTTTTCCCCTCATTGACTTTATTCTTTTCATTTCTTCTCATTTTTCTCATTTTCTTCAGTGCACAAATCTTCCACCTTCGAAACCACGTCTACACAATCCCGCAATCATGCGAATGCCCTCATTTTTAAGCTACATTTAACTCTCAACACCCCCTTTTTCCTGGTAAACAAAGAAATGTCTTACGATGGCAAGGCATCTTTGATCTTCATGTGAGAAATGTCATTGTAGAGCGCAATGGAAACCACCTCTTCCATGGGGCAGATGAGACCATACTCCTCACACCCATTTTCAATAACCAGAGGATCAGACTTATGAGGGTCAAACATGATGTTGTTAGGAGTCACAATCATGACACCGCCAACCACACCCTGCAGGAGAAAGCAACAGGACAGAATCACTTCAGGCAGAAATGCTTTCGGCAACTACCACAGAGCTTTAACTAACTCAGATGGCCACTCCATGGACTTTGTGAACCACAGTATCCTATGTGACAATTACATCCCCTCTGTGAGGACCAGAAAAACAGGCTGAAGAAAGGCAATGCTGGATGGTGAGGCAGAGAAAACAGATGTGGCTCACTGAGGCAACCAACTGAGCCTGATTCTATCACAGCTGCTGCAACAGCACAGCTGGTTCTCACATATACGTCTCAGATTTCCCAGATCCTGGTTCTCACATACACGTCTCAGATTTCCTAGATTTTCTAGTTCTCTGTCTACAAAATGGGAGGGGCTGTCCAAGTGCTTTCCCGTTCGAGAATACGGGGCTTTACAATTCACTCTGCAAGTCTTCCCCATGTGTCTAACAAGTGCATGGTTCTGTGCTAAGGGAGCAGCTGTTTCTGAGTTATAGTGCCAAAGAATAGTCCTGATATTTTTCTTTAAAATATTTAGAAAGCCCACATCCAACAAAAGTCAACATAAATAGGAATATGAAACTTTTGTAGCCAGAGTGAATACAGCTGAACTATGGAGATTAAAAGCAAAAAGTCGTAGCTTGGTGAAGTCTTAAAAGTCTGAAGGTTGCTCAAATTATAAAAGAGACCTTAATGGCCATAGGGATATTATCTACCATGAACAGCAGGATACAGATAACTTTCTTTGGGCAAATACTTTATTTTGGTACTTTTAATGAGTTTAGTGATTATCTTAGTAAAAAGTTTTGTAGATCCAGCAATCCCATTACTAGGTATATATCCAAAGAAAACGAAATCATATCTCAAAGAGGTATCTGCACTTGCATGTTTATTTGCAGCATTATTCATAATAGCCAAGATATGAAAACAATCCAAGCATCCATCAATAGATGAATAAAGAAAATGTGCTATATATACACAAATTATTCAGCCATAAAAAAAGAATGAAATCCTGTCATTTGCAACAACATGGATGAAACTGGAGAACATTATGTTAAATGAAACAAGCCAAACACACAAAGATAAATACTGCATGATGTCACTCATATGTGCAATCTAAAGAAGCTGATCTCATAGAAATAGAGAGTAGAATGGTGATGACTAAGAGGTATGGGTGGGCCAGGTGCGGTGGCTCGGGCCTGTAATCCTAACACTTTGGGAGGCCAAGGCAGTTGGATCACCTGAGGTCAGGAGTTTGAGACCAGCCTGGCCAAAATGGTGAAACCCCATCTCTACTAAAATTACAAAATTAGCTGGATGTGGTGGCACATACCTGTAGTCCCAGCTACTCAGGCTGCAGTGAGTAGAGATCGTGCCACTGCACTCCAGCCTGGGTGACAAGAGCGAAACTCTATCTCACCAAAAAAAAAAAAAAAAAAAAAAAGAGGTGTAGGTGTTTAGGGGAAAGAGAAGGATGGGGGAGATATTGGTCAAAGGACAGTTAGGAAGGAGGAATAATAAATTGTCTAGAATAGGCAAATACAGAAAGACAGAAAGTAGGTAAGTGATTGCCTCACAGAGATGGGGGTAGCAGGGAGGGGAAATAATAGGGTGGGAGAGTGTGAAATGGGAAATAACTACTAATGGTTATGGAGTTTCTTTTTGGGTAATAAAAATGTTTTAAAATGGATTGTGGTGATGGTTGCACAACTATGTGAACAAACTAAAAACCACTGGATTTTACACTGTAATTGGGTGAACTGTATGTTATGTGAATCACATCTCAATAAAGCTGTCTTTAAAAAAAGTTTCTTTATGTCAAGCATTATTTATTCTTGTTTGCAAACTTTATAAATGCACATCGGTAACATATTTTTCCTATTATCTAAAACTCATATGAAGTCTCCTATGACCACAGGAATTCACTGGTTATCAAGATAGTCCCTTCTCCAGAGGCTCACTAAAAGCTGAATTTGTTCTATGTGAAAACAAAAAAACAAAAACACCCAGAAAACAATCAACCAACAACCAAAAAACTAAAAACAGGATACAGTAGATATTAATACTAATATCACCAACAGCAAATACAGGTTACGAGCTTACTATTTTCCAGATTAGGTGCTAAATTCTTTACATACATTATCACTTTTCATTACAATAGTCTTATTAATTTTTTTATTGTTCCTATTTTACGCATGAGAAAAATGGAAGCTTAAGACATGTAAATACCTTGCTCCTGGTCTCAGAGTTAGTGGGTGGTAGAGTTAGAATTTAAATTCAGTGAGTCTGACTCCAGTGTTTGCTGTTATATGTGTATTATACTATCTCCCTAACAATTCATAGGCCCAAACTAAAAGAAAGGAAACAATGAATCCAAGGTCACAAAGAATCACATTTCCACTCTGTGATAACATTTACCTCAATAAGCAAAATGGCCAGGCATCCAATAGAGGAAAACTAATAGATGCTTGTCAAATCTAAACTTGACACGCTGGGTAAGATCTTTTAATGTAGCCTCTGTTCCAGTAACTTGTAACCTTTAGTTTTTCATAGATTTCAAGGAAAGAAAACAAATTACATTGCTATATACCTTTCCATCGGTGAAGTATCGACAATTCATTTTTAAAAATTTCACCACACCTGGCTCGTCTTCTTCAGAAGTAGATGATAAGACTCTTTCAATGGGTTTTAAGGCCTTTCGTGCTAAGTCAGCATCCTTGTGAAAGCAAAAAATTTCAAAATCAAATAAAAGCACTTTTTCAAACAAATTATGTGGGTAGATCAAGCCCCATAAATTCCCTGTGACTATAGTATTTCTATTTATGTGGAACATTAAACAGGCAAACATCCTTTGTCCTTCAAAAATATCACAAATGTAATAACAGATATCCAAATCAAATTATTTTTTTTTTTTAAGCAAAGGCATATGTATGAACCCATAAAACTTGCTCATGAAATGTCTTTAGAAACTAACCTCACTGGGCTGGGTGGGGTGGCTCACGCCTGTAATCCCAGCACTTTGGGAAGCCGGGGTGGGCGGATCACCTGAGGTCAGGAGTTTGAGACCGGCCTGAGTAATACAGTGAAACCCTGTCTCTACTAAAAATACAAAAATTAGCTGGGCATAGTGACAGGTGCCTGTAATCCCAGCTACTTGGGAAGTTGAGGCAGGAGAAACGCTTGAACCCAAGAGGCGGAGACTGCAGTAAGCCAAGACCGTGCCATTGCACTACAGCAGTCTGGGTGACAGAGAGAGACTCTGTCTCACACACACAACAACAACAACAACAACAACAACAAAAACACTAACCTAAATGAAAAAATTCATATTAGACTTGTGATTCAATTTATTATTTTTTTTAAAAAGGATGAATACAAGTAAACTATCCATGCCATTGGAAATTTAACTTCATACTTTTACACAAGACATGCATTTTTGCCTTTTTAAAATTTTTTTTATTTTTATTTTTTTTTTGAGACAGGGTCTCACTCTCTCACCCAGGCTAGAGTGCAGTGGTATAATCATGGCTTACCACAGCCTCAACCTCCCAGGCTCAAGTGATCCTCCCACTCCTGAGTAGGTGGGACTACAGGTGTGAGTCACCATGTCTGGCTAATTTTTAAAATATTTTGTAGAGACAGAGTCTCATTATATTTCCCAGGCTGGTCTCAAACTCCTGGGCTCAGACAATCCTTCTGCCTTGGCCTCCCAGAGTGCTGGGACTACAGGCGTGAGCCACTGTGTCTGGCCATCTTTGCCTTTGAAACCTTAAATGTGAATAAGTTTCCCTTGGAGATGATGCATTCTCCAATTACCTAATCTCAACCATCTAGGGAGAATTTCAGATATTATCTTGCGAAAAATAACATGTTCAATTCTACAACTCACAAAAAGTCTCTTTAATAAAAATGAACTTCAGTGCATGAAGTACATAATATACATACAGGCAGTTTATCATATTCTGCATCTGATGATGAAGGAGAGACAGTAGCACCAGGACTGGATGATGATAGCCTTAAGGTACTGGAAGGAGAGTTGGCATCTGGCACAAAAAGGACCTGAGAATGGGAGAGAAGAGATGGGTGAGTACCCGGAACCAGGCAAACCACTAGTGAGTGTTTAGAGAAGTTATTCTCTGCACAGTATCATGTTTAGTGCATGATAATGACCTCAGTTGCTTTCAAGAAACTCATAAGCAACTTATAGTGTCTTAGACTAATCCATGAAATGATACTCAGCATATGAATGTGTGTAGTACAAAGGTTACAGAACATGCCTATAGACACTGCAAGAACTCAAAAAGGAAGAGCAAGGCCAGGCACAGTGACTCATACCTGTAATCCCAGCACTTTGGGAGGCCGACATGGGCAGATCACCTGAGGTCAAGAGTTTGAGACCAGCCTGACCAACATGGTGAAACCTCGTCTCTACTAAAAATACAAAAAAATTAGCTGGGCATGGTGGCACATGCCTGTAGTCCCAGCTACTCGGGGAGGCTGAGGCAGAAGAATCGCTTGAACCCAGGAGGCAGAAGTTGCAGTGAACCAAGATCGTGCCACTGCACTCCAGCCTGGGCGACAGAGAGAGACTCAATACCTCAAAAAAAAAAAAAAAAAAAAAAAAAAAGAAATGAAAAAGGCAAAAAGAAAGGGAGAGGAAGGTGGGTAAGTATTCTGGGCAGGCCAGGTGAAGCAAGTGGGTCCAAGTGAAGCCTTGAAGAATAAGTAGAAATTGGATAGGAGAGAGGGGAGAGCCCTCCAGGATGGGGGACTAATAGTATAAGGGAAATGAACAGAGAGAAGCATGGCTTCTAAACTTAATATCTGTGCCAGGTAGAAATGGAACAAACCCAGCTTGCTAACTCCAAGCAGGCTCTGAGTTCTAAACTAGTATGGTCCTTATATGATAAATTATATAAGGTAATATCAATACAACGATCCCAGCATTTTCTCTTCCATCAGTGTCTGGGTTATGCAAAACTAAAAATCCACCCCCCACCCCCCCACCAAATTATACAGAATAGCAACCTTCTGCAAAATATTCTGGTTCTCAAAACATTATTACAATCCTGACATTCAATACTCTTTTAATGAGACATGCTACATTGTGGCATCTATCAAATATAATCTTTTGCTTGTTTGTTTTTGAGACGGAGTTTCACTCTTGTCACCCAAGCTGGAGTGCAGTGGTTCGATCTCAGCTCACAGAAACCACCACCCTCCGCATTCAAGAGATTCTCCTGCCTCAGCATCCTGAGTAGCTGGGATTACAGGCGCCCACCACCAAGCCTGGCTACTGGCTAATTTTTGTATTTTTAGTAGAGACGGGGTTTCCCCATGTTGGTCAGGCTGTCCTTGAACTCCTGACCTCAACTGATCTGCCTACCTTGGCTTCCAAAGTGCTGGGATCAGAGGGATGAGCCACTGCGCCTGGCCAAATATAATCTTAAAATGATGACTTTTAATGTTATAAAGCAGAATGCAGAGCTAATCATGTAACAACTGATTACTGATCAATATTGGTATTCACTGTCTCCTATCTTTCCAGTCATTTAAACCTCACTTCAATCCAGAAAATATTTGAGACAACAATAAAAAACACATTAAAATAAAAGTGGGAAAATCAAAGTCAAGGAGATATAAGATGAGGATTGATTACTACTAAAAATATACGCACCAAAACTAGTAACCACTCATTAAGAAGTGGGCCATAAAAGTGACTCTAAGTTGTCATATAATTAATGCAAAGAGACGACATCATTAATTAGCAGAATTCAATTTCCATGAGATAAAAATGAAGAAGTTTCTCAGAAGTACATATACTCTCCTATAGAATCTCATACAAAGGAGTGTCCTAGACTGAACCATTTGTCCTCTCTGATGCACTAATAGTAAATACAATAACCAGTTTTGGAGTATTGCTTTTTACAGCATCTTCAATATGGGTCAATGGCAAATGTCAAAGTTTATAGCTCTGTAAAAAGTAATTTACAAAGGACTAAAATTTTGTGGTCTTGGTATACAGCTCTTATTTATCTTATATTATACAGCTAAACTAGAGTAATGAATGGATGGCGTTTTTCCCAAGCAATTCTCCGCTATTATCAACTTTTTTTTCATCTGAACTCTTAAAAAAAGTATTAGGTAACAGAAATTGTGATTCAATCGTCTGAACATTCCAAATGTTGAATCTAAAGAGTAACTCCTAAGCTTAAACAGTTGACTGCACTGTAGAGAGAGGTGGGCAGCAGCCAGAACATGTGCTACCTCAACATGGAAGTGAGCCTGGATCATGGGCAGGGGTGAAAGTCTCCTATTGCCTTCAGAAAATAATTTTGGGTTTGCTCCCAACACATATGCAAATCAGGATTTGAGGTCTTAAAGTTCTTAACCATACAGCAATGCAGTCATTTTAGCCTAGAAAAAAAATTTTAAGCATGTGTAGCCAAGGTATCCTGTGAATATGAAAATATCATAAAGTTGAGCTGGGTGCAGTGGCTCACGTCTGTAATCCCAGCTACTTGGGAGGCTGAGGTGGGAGGATTGCTTGAGCCCAGGGGATAGAGGCTGCAGTGACCCATGATGGTGTCACTGCACTCCAGCCTGGGCAACAGAGCGTGACCCTGTCTCAAAAAATAAACAAATAAAAATAAAGGAGAGAAAATATTGAACCAAAGCACATTATCATTTATGATAATACTATGACAAACAATAGTGAGACACTGAAAATGGCAATAAAAGATAAATGCAGAATTTCTAGAGTTATATACAAAAAGAGTATAATTACCTGGCCTGGAACAATAGTATGTGTGAAAAGTTTATTTAGTTCCACCAATTTATTGGGAGTGATGTTAAATTTCAGTGCTATGGAGTTTAGGGTGTCCTGGTTTCCAGCCTAGAATAATCAAACAAGTAAGAATCAATACATAAAGCAAAAAAATCAATTTTGATAGATACTATTAATTTATCTGCAATATGAGTAAATAATAAAGTAATAGTTCCATCAAGATAGACTACAAAAAAAAGAGTGAATACGTTGTCAATTCTTAATAAAATCATTTTAAAGCAAAGTCTTAAATGCAATTCATTTCTGGGCTTCCTCATGTTCAAATTTCACTGTCCACTAATAGATTTCTAATTTTACTTTGGTGCAACTTAGGCATATGAAATAAAGGCCCATGAGCTATAATGAAGACTACAACAAGAAAAAAATACAATGTACACACAGTCCCCACCCTCAGAGGAAGTGGGGCTACTTTCTCTCTTGTAATTTTCTGTCTATTTGCATGACCTTTCTGTATACTATAAACTGCCGGTTTGTATGGCAAAGCTGGCAAAATGTTTTCTCCTGAGTTCAGCACACTGCTTGATACATGGAGGGTACTCAAAAAGTTGATGAATGAATACTGTGAAAACAAGGAAATCAGAAAGAAATTCAGATTAGCTACCAATAATTGTTCACTGTCATTAAAACCACAATTTTCTATGGTCAAATTAGTGTTATTCTCTAAATCTATGAAACTTGTGACATATGTCCCAGGTGCACACTTTTCTTTCCTTCTGTAGTAGAGGAGGAACAGGAATAGAGGGTAGTGAGGAGATGAGAAACTTCACTGGAAAACAGCTCTATCCAGAAAAAAAGTTGGCTCCCTGAGGTCATGTCAACATCCCAGGACAAACTCCCTGACCAGAGTTGCCAGATAGACTTGCTAGTGGCAGGTCACTCTGATGAATGTCACTGAGAAGTTCCTATTGATAGCCCTGGGTCAAGACCGGTATAAGTCCTTCGTAAGCAGAACTGGCTCCACCAGGTGAGCCTTGAATTATGTGGAGATGTGAGAAGGCTGAAGGAAGATGTGGACTGGTGAAAGGGTAGAGACGTAGGAGAATTAAATCCATCGCTGCCTTCAGTATCAAAGGTCCAACTACTAGATGAACTGTCTCAGACTAAACAAAGCTTACGGTTACAGATTACATTGAAACAGCCTCAAAGCCTTTCTAGAACAAGTTAGGATACGTTATATGTAGTATGTATAATTTTTTAAATCACTAAAGTAACAACATAGGCCCCTACTTCTACCCTAGGCAAAACTATCTCCACTAAAAACAAAGTTAAAAAATATTTTCAATACTGTATTATATATTTGTATACTACATTCACATTTTTATGAGTAAGCTTATAAAACATACACTGTATAGGGGGATCAGAGAGTGAGAAAAACTTTAACAATCTGCAGTTATTAAAGATAAGATATATATGTAGAATTAGGGCACAGACCCAGAGAGGGATGTTGGTATCATTAAGTGACTGAAACGAAATCAGAATGCTTGATCATCCATAGCCCAGGAGTAATAAAAGCAATCGGGTAAGTGCTAGCAGATTCTTTAAACACAAATTTATATGAGTTACCTTTTATTTCCAATGACAAGCACAAAAATAACTTGCCAAATAAAACTAATCTCCATAAAATAAAACAAAGAGGTAGGCATACCTGCATTATTGATTTGATCACTTGTTAATATTTAATTAATTTGGAGGGGTTTTTTTTTGTTTTTTTTTTTTAACGGTCACTACATTGTTCAGTACATACTGTAGGAAGTAACTCCTGGCAAAAGCACCTCTCCATTCTTTGGAGGGGCATGTGAATAAAGGTGCTAGACAAATACATACAGATCTTAATGATTATGGCTTTCGAAGTAATATTGTTATTAATAATAAATAATTGAGTCCAATACTTCTTGAGTGCCTATTTTGAGGTAAGGCACTATTCTAGGTGTTATGAGGACCAACAGTATATTTTAGACAACGGTAATATAAAATATAATTATCCCAAATCCTTTCTAAAAATGACTATGCTTAAAAACTTTAGAAAGATGCCTAGAGATGCTCACAGGGCATTGAGCATGAAAGCCTGTGACAGAGATCTTCAGTGTGACTCTACAGAGGCTTGCAGATTTACTATTCCATAAGAAACACCAGCAAAGAATTAGATCTTGCTGCCTGTCTTATATAGGGTCTGACATTGCTTACAAATAATGACTATAAAATAAGTACACATTAGGAAAATACAACCAGGCAATGGCAACAGCACTTAATTTCTTCTTAGAAGTCAAAGAGAACACTCCTCAAGAGTGCTATTTAATAGTGAATTAAAATAGATCTACAACTGAGTGCCCACTTTGTGCCAAGCCTAGGATACATAAGATACAACAACTCCTGGCCTCCAGGAGCTTATGATGCAGTCACAGAGATGAGCACATGGCACACAGTGTGGAGCTGTAGTAATGAACACACACCTAGCATTGTTCATCTACTGCTCTACAGTAGGGAATTCCTGCAAGCTACGAGGAATATAATGCTGAACAAAGAGAGGTCTAATCTCTCTTCATGGATGTATAAATTAAAACATGAGATACAGATTAAAATAACGATATGCTAATGAATCAATAATGTCAAACTGAGATAAATTATGTTAAGCAACACGATTCTATGAGAATGTTAAAAAAGGGATCTGGCCTAGACTGGTGGGCAAAATCACAGAAGGTAGTAACAAACATGAAGAGTAAGGGGATGAAGATGTCAAGAATTAAGTTGTAGCCTGCATAAATGTAGGAATGATGGAGTCATTGTTTCCTGAAAGAGGACCAAGCATGGAGGACTAGGTGGATATGTTGAGTTGCCAAGTAAGTACATAGCTTTGGAACTTAGAAAGAATGTCTGGGTTGATGACCTAAAAGTGGTAGTCCCTGTTATATCAAAGATAATTCAAGTCATCAGCTTGTTTGGAGGTTCTAACAGGGCAACACAGTTACTGGAATACCCATGACCCAAGAAATGTCCTCCTCTATTGGGGAAGGTCATCCTCTTCATCCAAGCTCCATAGGGATGCACATGGAGTGGTGGAGGAAGAAAGGGATTCCTACCTAGTCAGCCAGATCAGCCTAAGCAATGCTGGTGATCAACAGGGTGATGGATGTTGCAGGCAGATCACCCTCACATTCTCAAGTCACTGGTTTATTTGAGATTGACCCGGGAGAAAATATAGAGGAAAAAGAAATGACCTAAAACTGGTCTTAAGAAGCTTCATTGTTTAATGGGTACACAAGAGGAATGCAGCCAAGGGGCAGGATGTGTGAGGGAAAACCATTATATAAATCTAATGCTATTAACAAACATTTATACCACCTTGGTTATACTTACAGTGTATTCCATAGTCCCATGGGGCTTCTGAACCACCATCTTCTTCTCTTTTTTATCATGTGTTTTGTTTTGATTGTCATCTGAAGAATAAATTGTATGTAAATGAATAATTTCATTTTCAGGGACTGAAGACAGGGTAAAACTACCATGTATAAAAACCCACTTTCAAATCAACTGACAAAAAGACATTAATAGGAAAATGGACTCAGGGCACAAATAGATCATACTCATAAAAGCACACTATTCATCCTGAATAAATGATTAACATTAACTATAATTAAATAATATAAATAAAAACCATGAGGTAATGTTTATAGTTACTAATGGTTTAAATGATAATGTATAATGATTATGAAGTTAGAGTAAAACCAGTGCAGTTACTATATAAATGATGCCTAATGTAAATGAGTACAGTCCTTTTAGAAAGTGATTTGGTAATATGTAACAATAACCATAGAAAGGTTCATTCTGACTTAGTAATCCTTCTCTTAGGAATTTATCCTAATAACAAATTCAAAAGAAGAAAAAGGCTATATATCAGCATATGGTCACTGTAATACTATTTATAACAATGAAAACAAAAAGAATACGTCCAACAACATACTAAGTTGGACCATGGATTTTACTATTTTTTTGGGGTTTTTTGGTTTTTTCTTTTTTTGAGACAGAGTCTCACTCTGTCACCCAGACTGGAGCACAGTGGCATGATCTCGGCTCACTGCAACCTCTGTCTCCCAAGTTCAAGCAATTCTTCTGCCTCAGCCTCCCGAGTAGCTGGGATTACAGGTGTGCGCCACCACGTCTGGCTAATTTTTGGATTTTTAGTAGAGACAGGGTTTCACCATGTTGGCCAGGCCTGTCTTGATCTCCTGACCTCAGGTGATCTGCCTGCCTCAGCCTTCTGAAGTGCTGGGATTACAGGTGTCAGCCACCGCACCCAGTCAGATTTTGCTGTTTTTATAGGTCAAAAATGGCCAACCATTGGCACCTGCATATGATTCAACCTAACTGTCAGGGTTAAATATATCCTGATATACTAATTCAGATATCAGAAACCCCAGAACCATACTGCAATAGATAAAAATGTGACAAAAAGAATATAAAATTGAATTAACCATGAAAAGATGCTCCAACCTGTATGTGATCAGAAAAATGCGAATGAAAACAATATATCATTTTACACATACTAGCCTGGTAAAATCAGAAAGCTGTATAATTCCAATGTTGATGGAAATGTGAACACTACAAGGAATGTAAACTGTTCAGTCATTCCAGAGAATTAAGTATATATAGCTCATATGACCTAGGAATTTAATTCACAGATAAGTATCCTTTCCCAACAGGTAGATACTTTATGTACACCATAAGGGACCCGCTGGAGGATGTTCATCACAGTATAATCTATGGCAGTGAGGAGATAGAGGGTAAATAAAGCATGGTAGGTAAGCTCTGGGAATCCAGAGCAATTAGATTCCAGCAATTAGAAATAACAAGCCATAAATATACACCAAAAGTGTCAACAGGTTAACATCAAGAAAAACTGAATGGGATGTTAGTATCCATCTGTTTTAAACATACATCACAGATGGACACTAAAAAAAAACCACACAAATAATTTTCAGAAGTACATAAAAATAAAAACCTATACACATTGAACACAATAGAATAGTGTCGAGTTGGGGAAGAAATGGGAGTGCAGAATGAGAATAAAAGAGAATGAATGATAAATGACAAGAAGCCGAGCTTCGATCAGTAATCATAAACCATGATCTGAGAAGGGTGATTAACTCAGCCCTCTATATCTGAGGTCCTACAAGCACACATACACACACACGGAAATGTCTCAATGACATCATTTCATCTATATCACAAACATGGGGGTCCCAGATGAAAACTGAGGGGTGACATAGAAACATGAACATAGTTAATTCACATAGGATTTATCTGACTTTTAAGTATTTCCTCTATATTATTTAAAAATTAAAGCCAAGAGGAAAAAATAAAACTTAAATAGATGCTTCCATTACAGTCCTGTTCTAGTCATCTATATCTTCAAATCAGAACTATTCATGGAACCAAAGAGACCCTGAACATTCCTCTAGACTATAAGAAATGATCTCCATACCTACAGGCAACCACATCTAAATTACTTCAGGAAGACAGGACTATTGACTACGTTTTTAGATCTCCAGATCAGGAGATTCCAAAGTGCAATCACCATATTTTACACATCTTAGGAAGGAAAAAATGTAAAAACTGGTTTGCTTAATTCTTGGCAGGGAAGCAATAAAACATTAACAATACTCATCTTTCCTTCTAAAGAATCTGAAAAATCTTAATTGTTTGCTTTTGCTTTGTTTACATGGAAGATGAATGCCCCAGGTTAATTCTTCCCCATAGTTTCTTTTGGGATTAGGTTAAGTGTTGTTCATTCCTTTTAATATCTCAGCTCCATTTTCTTTGTTGCATACTTCTGCCCTTCTTGCTGTCATCATAAACAGCTGTCACTTAAGGTCTTCGTGCTATCAGAATAGTTTCTTTATATCATTTTGTAGGTAGCTTCCTATTTCTAGAGCCCACAATATGCTTCCTTCTTCCCATGTCTGGCAGCTTCTGGCCAACGCCCTTCCATAAGCTGTAGCTAGATATCTCTGGTCCCAATGGGCAACGCTACTAAAAGCCACCAAATTGTGACAGTTTACATACTGCACAGCTACAAAAGAAAAATGCATGTTGGCTAAGCCTTGCAGGATAAACTTAACAATGTACACCTGAGTTAGTGCAAAAATTAAATTACCTTCCACTGCCACAGGTGGGTAGGTTAGAAAAATGTCAAGCATGTAGTATTACTAACGGAAAAAAAAAACAAAAAACAAAAAATGCCTTCCCATCAGAGTCTAAGATGTTGAGATCATGGGGGTAAAGACCATGATGTACCACCCATCCTTAAATGTCTTATGTCTTTTTTTTTCTTTTTTTTGAGACAGGGTCTCACTCTGTCACCCAGGCTGGGGTGCAGTGGCACTAACATGACTCACTGCAACCTTCACCTCCAAGACTCAAGCAATTCTCCCACCTCAGCTTCCCGAGGGGCTGGGACTATAGACTCATGCCATCACACCAGGTTAATTTTTGCATTTTTTTGGAGAGATGGAGTTTCACCATGTTGCTCAGGCTGTTCTCAAATTCCTGTGCTCAAGTGATCTGCCCACCTTGGCCTCCCAAAGTGGTGGGATTATAGGTGGGAACCACTGCACCTGGCCTTGTCTTGTATATATGGTTGAATAAACCTTTCAGTACAGATGAATAAGCCTGATAAGTTTGATTGTGAGGCAACACTTTTCACTGATGTAACATCACACTAGGCAAATCATGTGCACCTGCCAAAGCCACAAGGCAAATACTATGTTTTACAGTTGGCTCAATAGAGAAGCAAAGAGGATCTAATTTAATTGCCTTTATATCATTATAGCTCAAGGCAAAGTTTCATATTGCTTCCGAAATAATTGTTTTGCAGTGAGTTGAAAAGATGGTAAACTATGTGTCTCAATGAGTGAAGTCCTGTGTGTCTGGGAACTGGGTTCTGCAGCACATAGTCCACAAAGCACTGGAGGGGCTTCTGGCCCTGGTGAGATCTAGGACGAGGCATGAGCTGCCATGGGAAAGGACCACTCCATTGTGCTTTAGGATGGTGCTCCAACCCTAGCGTTTTAGGTAAGGATCCATGCCCATCCCAAAGGGTGCAACTGTCTTCCAATGACACTGATCTTTCCGGCTTCAGGCCTCCTCACAGACCTTTCCACCTATCCAAATTCTGACCCTCCTCCTGTGTACAAGAACCTGAGGCAAATGACATAAAAGTATCTACTGCCAAGGGGAAAGTTGGCTGAGTATCCTTCAGAAGCCATTTACAGCAAAGCAACTGAACCTCATACCTGCCCACTTCTAAAATAAAGTCTTCAAAGCAGGTTTTCTCCAGTCCAATAAGGAGTACCTGTAATAAAACTGACAAAAACCCTAGAAGAATAAAATACAGGCCCTTCAGCCTAGCCCATTTCTTTCTGCATAAATCCTGGAGGTAGGAGCTGGAATGGGAAGGAAGAATGGGGTACCTGTGTTTACCTCAGCCCAAGTGGATCTTGGTGCCCTGTTCATAAGTCCTGCCATCCCCCTTGTCACCCCAAAAAAGGGCCTGGAGTGTCCAGAACACAAGACTCTAAGCTCCTGCATCTGAGACGATCCCCAATACAAGTTTACAGAAAGAAGACTCCTCTTTCTTCGTGCACTGGGGCTAAAAGAAGATGCTACCTAGCAGTATGCCTGGGGCCTGGAGGGGCATGACAGCCAGATGTGAAGGTATCCCTTGTAGCGGGGATACTGAAGTCTTGGATGAGGCTATGACATCAAGAGAATAAATTTTAAGAGGAGGCCTGAAGTTTGAGAACAGAATCTAAAGAAGGCTTGATTTAAGGATTGAAAAAAATATGGCTGATATAAAGGGGGAAAAGCAATTACAGGGATGGGAAAATGAATGCAATGTCACAGAGGCCATGGAAAAAAAGAAGGTGGTGTTGACACTGTGAAATGCTGAACAGAGGTCCAGAGATGGAAACCTGGAAATGGATGAGTGGAATTCACAGAGAGGTTCTGAAAGTAAAGGGAGCTCAAGACAGATGCTGTCAACATCATCAGTAGAGTAGGGGTAAGGTCATCTGCTAAAATGTAGTGCAGTGAGGGTATGATTGAGGGAGTAAGAGTAATGAGATTTGGAAGAGTTACTATGGCAAAAATGAGGTTTCAAAAATGTGAACATTAAGAAGTAACACTATACTCTGGGGTGGGGTCTCAACACCAGGGTAACAGGCCACATAAGAAGTAAGCAAATAAGTGGCTACCTGTGTGGTTATACAGAGCAAGGCAGCTGGAGCTGGATGAGCAGTGGCTGAGATACAGGTAGTGAGATATCAGAAGAGTTAGGGGAATGGCATGATGAATGAGTTTCCTATTGCTGCTATTACAAATTACTACACATTTGTGACTCAAAATGAAGCATAAACGCAGATTTATTATTTTACAGTTT